GTACAACGTATCCACCTTTTTTTAAAAAAAATATTAAATTTAAGTTTGTGAGTTTCATTTTTTTTTATTATGACCTCTACAAGTTAGAATAGAGATATGTTGTTGTGTTGAAGTAAAAACAAGCGTAATGCTAGTAATAGCACCACTGTATTCCCAAAGTTCCTGGAAATGGATTGAGCCGTCCTTGACATGAAAAAATATGAATGTATAATATTTTGCATACTTTAGGATTAGGATAGTATCTATATATATATAATATTCATAATATCTTGCATATTTTAGATAGGATTTATTCAGCAAAATTTTGAAATGACATCATCAGTTTGTTTGGACGGGGTAAACTGATATTTTTGATTACGATTTACTATGTTTAGGATAATTTTAAAACATTTGCAAGATTTCAGAGCATTCAGTTTAACAGTTTCAAAGTTAATTTGCAAAATGTTGTTATACAATTTAATTTTTTTCCAAAAATCTGGATGTTTAAGATAAAAGCTCAACACGGAATCACGGATTCATAAACTACAAATGCAGGAGAGGAGTAGTAGTAGACAGATGGAAACGGAAGACCCACGTTTTCGTACTTTAGGGGTCATGTAACGTCGAGAAGCATAAGAAGAATGAAAGTAGGCATTTGTCGGAAGGACCCTACTATATAGGCCCTTTTATCGCCCTACGCCTAACGGTAGATTAGGATTAAGAACAACATTTCTTTGTATTAACCTTACTAAATTCCAATCTGTTCTTTGAAATAATTGAGACGGTGAAGTTCGTCTTTCATAATGCCCTAGCCCTAGAGTATGAAAAAGTAGGTTCCCGTTTGTCTGTAGTCTGTTGGTGATTCTATTAGATATATTATTAGATTAGTTTTTCTTGAAGAAAATTGCAGCGAATGGAATTGATAAAATTTTCAAATTTTGGCAAATCCATGGCAACTTTCCCGCACATTTTTTGGGAGCCGGAAACTTTTCGATCATATATAAAAATGCATCATTTATAAAAGTGCAATTATTATAAACAGTTTTTAATTCGTTGTTCAATTCACTTAGCTTATTGGCTTCTGCTGGTTGTCGTATTTTATCAACTATAGCCGCATGGTGCGTTGAGCTGATGAAGATAGAACTTTAGAGAAGACACACTGCCCTGTCCACTCATTTTCACAATTTGATGTTGCAGTCGAAGTCAAATTTGAAATTGCAGTTGATCGATTTGAATGATTCCCAATGTTTCTTTTTTTAACATCAAAGCCAATTTCTTCAGTTGCCTGAGACGTCCACTAAGAGATTTCATTTTTTCCAAATGGACAGTTTTAAAAAAATCCAATATATCCTTTTTATTTCCCGAGCGTAAGCGAAGGAAGCATTGTAATCGAGTCCGTCGGCCGACTATTTACTTTTACGTTTTTTCAACATTGCATGACCCCCAGAGTACGAAGAAATAGGTCTTACGTTTTAGTCTGTCTGCCGTCCCGGATTTGGACGTATCCGAGTTGTGCCCGCTACCTGGAAATATTATCACACCTGCCCCGATTTATTCTCCATGAAGTTGGTAAAATTTTATTTATTTCATAATTTTGTTATCTCAAAATTTAAAGTTTTTTCTTGTGATTTATTATTCCATTAACATTTTTAAAATTTGTTGAAACAGGTGGGTCAAAACAATTAATGAATGAGTCGATTTGTTTTATTGATTAAATCAGGAGCGGCTCATTCCTTTTTCACAGAAAATTTTGGAAATACAATACTGTTATTTTTAGTATTATACTGCACCAATCCATTGATTAAATACATACATATGTGTATTTAATCAATGACCAATCCAAGTTGATAAATGTCCTTGCAAGAATATTGATGACGTCATCACAAAATTGTGTAAAGTAAAAACACAACTCGAAAATGCTGGATATGTTTCATTGTACTTTAGGAATGAGGGAAGGTCTGTCGAAACAACTTTCGACCAATTTTTTGTCGCAGTGAGCATTTGGGGTCAAAAATAACTTTTTTGAGGTAATTACTCTTTTATCAATTAATTTTCGATATAATCTGAAACAGTAACAATTTATACTTCAGTTCCATTTAGAAAGTTTAGTTAACAAATTAGCTGACTGGGCATTTATCTGGGTTTGCCAAATTTTGTACGAGCCATTTTTTTTTCAGCCAAAAGGTTTTGCTACAGCTTGTGTTGTTTTCCAAACGTAGAATATATAATTCGGCATGTAGTTCCACCACCATTATCCAGTTCCTCCGAAAAATAGTCACTTACACCATTTACGGCTTCACCGTTCCTCCATGCTAGCTCATACACGAAGCAGTGTGGTAGGTAAAATTTTTTTTGCAATCAACCCGAGGTGTTCGTTCCATAGGTCGCGTATTTTGTTCATTTCTTCCAACGTTAAACTCGACGAGGAAGTTTTTCGTTTTTCGGAATTCATTTGCAATTCCTTTGGAGTCACGAACTTTTCTAGCGCTTGCGAAAATTATTTTTTGAAAACGAATTAAACACCACATTGTTTTCTTCCTTATATTTTTCCTGCAAAACCTTTGCCACCACAGTCTGTTCCAAATGGTTTTAATTACATTTTCCTTATAATCTACCCCATTTTTTTTCTTCATGTTAAATCCAAAATCCTTCATCATGGATGCAAGTTCCTTGTATCACATAACCTCTTTAACCACAGAAACTTATGAACAGTCTCCACGTATACTTTTTAGATTTTTTCGTGTTGATTGGCATTAAATTGTGAATATTTTTCTCAATTTGTCGTAAGGAATCTTGCCCAAAGCGCGCACACATTTTCGAAAAACTGAGATTTTCTGACTTGTTTACTACGTAGCAATGGTTATAAAAATACAGAGAAGTAATTTTGGGTTTAAATTTCATTAAAAAATTTGATTTTAAGAATGAACATTCGGCTAAGAGTGAAATTTTCTTCAGAAAATAGTCTGCCAAAGGATTGCTTGACTTCGGGGGGAATTGGAGATAATTTCACTTGATCTAGGGATGTTGCTATTGACAGTCAACGAACACACTGAACTCCACATTACAAAATTAAAACTGATAATAATTTGTTTAGGAAACTGAATTTGTTTCATTGTTTTTCAGGGACGAGGGAACTTTTATCTAAATAATTTTAGACCAATTTTTCTTTTGTTGTTAATTTTGTAAATGCTTACTACTAACAGCTGTAAATTCGACTTCCAAAAATTAAAATAAAGATCATTTATTACTTTTCTATTCTGAAATTAAGAAACTTAATTTGAGCCCTCAATTACGATCATGCTAAATACCTATATGCTAAATATTATTATGTACGTAACAAATAGCACATGTGTATTTAAAGTTGCCTAGCCAAGGGCTGGGAAAATACTAAAACATGTTTGGTTTGTAAAAAAGTTTTAACATTAGAATTTGTAGAGAACTAACAGACACTTTTAAAATCATTTTTAGTTTTTATCTTCATTTCATTACTGAATATGCAAAGAGCATATTTATTTGTAAAAAATTCATCAGTAAAAGCAGATAAATGAATCTAGGTATTTAGCATGCAGTAAAAATATTAGTTTGTATTATTTTACACAAAGTCCCAATCAAGTATGTGCAAAAGCGATGTTGTTCACTCAATAGGTACTAACTTTTTTGGACAACAAAAATAATCAATCTTAATTAGTTACTTAGGTATCACCAATTAATAATAGTGTAAAACCTAATGTGTTTAATGTTTTCTTTTCCAGGTAGTGTCCCTCTTCGCTTTAGGTATTGAAAGAAACTCTAGAAATATCAAGAGTGGAAACATCTTAGTAACAATCTACAATAATTAATTATTATTACATAACAGAACCTATTTAGTTTCGTTTCATTAGAGAATTTTTTTCTGTTAGAATTTTAAGTCTTAATTTCGAATCTTTTTTAGAATCTTATATTTAGATCTCAAATAATATGCACAACTCAGGGTGTTCTGTAATCATTATATTAAAAGTGTTAACATCTTAGCATAATTTTTTTAAAGGTAGTTTAAAGAGTAGTCTCTGAAATAATTGTAAAATTAGTTGTTTCAAATTTATATCTGTGTAGTAGGAACGAGGGGGTGAATGGTGTACTGCACAATCAGAGTGAGAAGTTTTAGACACTGTCTGTTCAATAAATTTCAGCAAACCTACAGACGAACACAAATTCGTCGTTGGAATAGTACTTCCATTAGCCATCATTTAAAAAGATGAAATATGTGTGTCTAACTCAAATCTTTTAAAGCAATACTTTTTTGACTTATGATGGTACTATTTTTGAGACTGACCACAAGTATTAATGATTTTAACAATAATGATATTATCAAATGTCAACTATTGTTTATGGAGTATCGGGTTTCTTAGCTGATTAATGCAATAATATTCTTTATCACTGCATTACTGTAAATTAGTATATACATATATTTAAGGTATGAGATATAACATTATGTAAAAAATATAACTTTTTGTATCTTGAGAAATAATGGTACGGTTTTTATTTGAAAAATTAAAAGCGTGCCTTACTGTGGCCATGAACGTCATCACGTAAATTTTGTCAGGTTGAGTACAAGCGATTATATTGTATGTAATGATACATTTTGTGTCGTAATATTAACAGAAAAGGAAGTAAGAATAATTCCAAAGAAAAATAGTTTGAAAATATCATTTTTCAATAAAAAGTTTCGAAATTTTATTCAATCTATTAACTTAACTTTTTAATGAACTGGTATTTAATTATGTTTTTATCTCAAAGAAGTAACATTCTGGAGAAAATGATTTTTTTCGCATGCGGATACATTAAACACGAAAACGATTATTAAATACTTACGCATTATGCATTTTTGTTAATCCACTTACTTCTGCCGATAATAATTCTAATTTTTGGCTGCAAATGATTACATTTTTCTAAAAACGAAACATAAAATGTTGTCTTACTTGATAGAAAAAAAAAATTATTTCAATACCAACATTTGGTGTTAGTTAACTAAATAAAGGGTGCAATTTTATCACATGATTTAATTGGTTTTACAGTCAGTAGGTATACAGAAATACGTGTATTATGCAAGAAAATATGGCAATCAAATTTTACTAAAAATATTGTTACAACTAATAAAAGTGGCCTACTTCACCAGTCAACATCGTCATCTGCTGAAACAGATGGTAACAACACTTCAAATTCTAGTACAATACATCTCACCTATCATTTGAACTTTTTTTTTTATCATAAAATACATTTATATAGTAATTGATTTAAATTCCAACAGTGATAGAACCTTTATTATAAACAAGCCTAGGCCCAGCCTAAATTATGATTTAAACGAGATGTTCTAAAAATATATAAAAGAAATAATTAACTTTTGGTACGTATTATTACAACTAGAAACACATCACAGATCTAAAATAACAAAATCAGACAAAAACTAAATAGTGAACACAACAAAAGTACTTATTAAGTACTAAATTAACATTTCATGTAGAAAACATATAAGTCAATTAAAGCTAAAAAAGAAATCACATAGTAAATATCTTAATCTAAAATATTTCGATAGTTCAGCCGTCGTTTAATTAATACGTAGTTTTTCTTAATAAATACATCATAACAAAAAGTGGCTAGTGGTTTTCTTCGAAATAGTTATGAACAAGTGCTTTTAAAAATACTTTGAAGATGTTAACAATATTTTAATCGAAAATGGCGGACCAACAAGTCAAAAAATTCAAAAGAAACCTGTCACAAGTTGTGCTGCTAGTGCAGCGAGTATTTTTACTTTTTACTGGGCAATCCATTGCTCTAATACTGCTTTGGGAACTCAAAAGTTTTGGTTTTTCCGTACCTGGTACTCTTGGTTGCGACATTTTATGTGGTAGATCTTCTACCGGCCTGTTTTTACTCTTTTCTTTGATGAAAAATTGTATTTTTCTCCACTCTTTTTCTTCGAGGATGTCACTTCGCGTAGGCCCTTTTTCTCCGTATATAGTTCTACTACAAAATTCTTTTTTCGACATAAGTCCATATCTTGGCGCATACCGCAGATCTCGAACCACAGCCTTGATGTTTACTAGGTGGGGCTGCAGAGTTCTCCTGTGACACTCTTTTGTCGCCCATTTCAACACTGTAGCATACACCAAACATTCATTTTTCACTTCTAAAGTGTCTCTTGTTATAATAGCTAACAGATCAGAATACGACAGATCCAAAATTTCGTTTTGTTTCAAAACGTAATCCGCATTCTTATCAATTTCCAAAAGGCAGTTATGTCGCAGGTTGTCTGTTAATTCTTGAACCCAGTCTTTATCTCGGAGATTTTCATTTTCCACGATGGGGGGAGCTGATGGTTCGAAGTCGTTAGGATTTGAACATGGCATTTTACACTGGGATAGATGTGCAAATATGGACAGGACGTTACTTTTGTCCAGTTTTCTGTCAAGGATTTCAATGCACTGTTTTGCTAGAGGCATGTTCTTTAGGTTCACTGCTGTCGATAGTAGTTTACATGCCAGACTAGGGTCCTCTATCTGGAGTTGGTCCGCTTTCATCGAACTGAAATCGGAAAAAATCACTTAAATGCCTGCAACTGTTTTTTTTTATTTATTTTAAGATGGGCAGGTCAAAACACATTGAAATCTTACCTAGTAATATTCTTATACGCTTCCGCATAAGAATTTCTTCTAAATTTTATTTCCTCAGAGGTTTCTTCTGAAGTTGCTGCATTTAACATTGGTTCTGTTTCTGCATATGGTTCGTTTGTTACTATCACCATTTTTGGTAAAATCTGTGGACAAGTAAACTTTCTTATTTTTTTTAAATTTTGGGCCAATTGAAGGTAGTGGGTGTTGTGATTAAATGAACTTGTAAACTAGGAGAGTTTATATACCAGTTAGCTTTAATTTCGAAAGTTGGTGGGAAGTGCTAATTGAGCGATAACAGTTGATAAAGAGATAAAAAAAGAGATAAAAATATAGCTCATCTGCTAAAATGATTATTATTAATTAATGTGTATGATTTATGGTTAGTTACTTCTTATCGAAAGCTACATATAATTTAATTTTTGATGAAAATAATAATTAAAATTATAATTCAGTGATTTGACTTTCAATTAAATAAATGGAATATTATGTCTATTCAGAATATTGCATAATATGTTATAGACCTACGTAATAAATGAAATATATAGATATATGTATATAATGAATCATTTAAAACCACTTGACTATATTATGTACATTCTAAAAACGATAAGTAAAAATATATAAAATATACCTTATATGTGTATACTTATAAAGAAATTATGTTGGACTTTTAACAAATACCGACGTTCTTCGGTGTCTAATAAACTAGTAAGTAATAAATGCAACACATTGTTTTTCCAAATTGTTTAATAATGTGAGGTACCTAAAAATCGTTTATCAACCTGCCGTTAAAATTAGCCTTAGTATCATCTTTTGTTCCATTTTATTCCTTGGAATTTATCGATTTTTTAGGAACTTTATTAAATTGTGACAACTAAAGCTCCTGATAGTTATATTCTAGACTAATTACAAATGATCGATATTCTAATTGATATTAAAAAAAATGGTCTAAATTTCTTTACATAGAACTTCCCCGGCTCCTGAAGTAAAGTCCAACAAATCCAACTTATCCGAGTAACCTGCTTCATATTAAGTAATTATTTCTTAGTGATTCTGTACCTATAACCTTAAAGGTTATTTCTACAGAACTTCCCTCGCCCTTGAAGTACAGTCGAACGCTAATTTTGAAGAAATTATAAAATTCGATCTTGCACTTTTTTTCAGATTTTGATTAACGGTTTACCTGCATACGATAACCTTGACAGTTTGCAAAATTTTAGAGTATTCTTCTTTGCAGTTTCAAATTTAAATTTTAAAATTTACATAATTTTGATTTATTTTTCTGGACGTCAACGGAAAAAGTCATGGGGATTCATAAGCTACAATTGTAGGAGTAATCGTATTTTATAAAATTTAAGTAACATTTACTTTTGTAAAATTTGGAGATAACATTATCTCATTATTGCTGGGGATGATCAAACAAATTTTGGTTAGCGTTATATTCCTAACATACATACAAAAATTGACAAGAATCGATCCGCTAGTTTCGAAGATTTAGACAGATAATCTTAAAATAAAACTCGACATGAGAGATAGACAGGCAGAGAGACAGATGGAAATGGGAGATTTATTTTTTCGTACACTAGGGATTATAAAACGTCGAGAAAACCTTGTATAGCCAAACAAAAAAATTTTGAAATGACGTCATCAAATATTTGGGGAGCATAAATATATAGATTTTAATTAACAATTTACTAGGCCTACGATAACATTAAAACTTTGCAAGATTTCAGAGCATTCGGTTTTACAGTTAAGTTAAATGTTGTTATACAACTTTGATTTTTTTGGGAAAATTGGGAAGCGGAGGGTAGAAAGTCAAGGCGATTCGTAAATTACAAGTATATGAGTATGTTACATCATAAAATTTAAATAATATTTACCATCTAAAATTTTGAGGTGATGCTATCAAATTGTTGGTGGGGATGATCCGATGTAGTGTAGGACATAATAAATATCGACAGAGACGATAGACCAGACAGATGGAAATGGGACACCAATTTTTTCATTCTCTGGGGGTCATGAAATGTCGATAAAACACGCAAGTAGCCGTTTGACGGATGGATTCTGTGACAATAAGTACTTCGGAAAATAATAAGAAAATTGTAATTTGTTAACCAAATTTGTTCAACAAAGTGGTCACAAATATGTGTAGTTATTTTATGTTACTCGTATTTACAAAATATTAAGGTGATGTGACCAAATTGTTGATGGGTATGATTAGACCAATTTTGGTTTAGCGTTTCATCATTACACGATATTCCTAAAATACAAGTCAAATTTCACAAGACAACATAATGGAGGTTATCTGTGTAATGCTAATGAAAAATCCCAAACAGACGTCAGATGACAAATAGACGGAAACGTGAGATGTATTATCTTAAAATTTAAGTTTTTTGAGATATTGTTCTGTATTCAAAATAATGGGAAACTCATCATAAATTGCTGCATAAGTCACGTGATCGATGGTTTTTTGAACATTTTTTACGTCGGAACTCTACAAAATCATCTGAAATTTTCCCGCTACATGCAGTTCGACTGAAAAATATTTAACACTGTTTTTAATTTGTTCCATAAATTAATTGCGGTATACAAGAAAATTAAATAATAGTGAAAATTTTAAGTCGAAATTGAAACTTTTTTTCGATATAGTATGTACCTACTTTGTTGTCGTTTTGTGCTGTTAATGAAAATTTTTAATATACCCTTATAAAAATTTGTGTTAAGTATGTGGTGATACTGTAATTGTAATTTATTATTATAGTATCACGTCTTATGTTTTTCTTTTTTTTTTTGTATTATCTGTTAAGCGAAAACAACACACGCCGTAATTTCACATAAAGTGTAAAATTTTGGATGATAAAATGTAACAAAGTATTTTTACTGTGAATGCCATTTATGTTGTTTATAAACAAATTCATTTTATCTACCTATCTATAATTCTACAAATATAATTATTATCAACAGTAAGTTTTTAACTAAACAGTAAACATAAATTTCACGTTTTTTGTCTATAAGCTATACGGTAATGGTAAGATAAAACTACAGTGCGTGATAGTTAGATAAACCATTTATTTTGCTGAATATGAATCATAATCACAAATGTTTTCTTGGATATAGTAGAGATCAAATAAAGATAAGTAATCGTTATATAGGTACGTTGACAAATTTACGCAAGTTATAAGTTCAAATTGCACAATTGTCTCTATACCAAGCGCTACTAAGTTTTTATATTTTGCAACTGATAAAAAGTTGTTAAAAATACGAACACAAAATTCGTGTTAAATTATAATCTAATATTATATCTGATAATTATCATATTAGATCTTCTCAGTTCCACTGCGTACTCTGCAGGTAATCAGCATAAAAGTAAGTATGTATAAACAACGTAGATGAATGGTAAACAGCAGACATAAATTTTGTTAAAGAAGCCGCCAACGCTTGTTACAAAAGGTACAACTTTCTTCTACGCCTTTTTTTCAATAATAGAAAGGAAAAAAAAACGACAACATGAAAAACACTGAAAGTTTATAATTTTTTTTTTACACACTGACTTATCTGACCATCCAGTTTTACAAGCCTTAATAATGAATGACTAATAAAAACTGCTAGATCTTAAAGAAATAGATAATAATAGTTCAGTAAAAGTTGGTGTCAAATTTTTTGCTCAGAACTTCCCACGTAGGTATCTGAATTACAATTGTTTCTATATACACCTTAGAGTGTATTTTTCAGCAAAGACTTATTTAATTTTCGTGAGGATAAACAATTGCCGTTTATATGCATCGGTCGATGATGCAAACACAAAGATTATATTACTTTGACCTACGAATTTCAAGAAAATTAAATCGGCGGATTAAGAATTATGTGCACAGATCACAGAAAAATAGAAACATAAATAAAATAAAAAGTTGGTCGAAGGTTATTCCGAGAGAACTTCCCCTGAAGTACAACCAGATTTTAAAAATTCTAAGTTTTGATTTTATTAAATTAAAATAAAAATATGTAAGTAATGTTAAAATAAAGATAAAGAAGCGTGCTACGAGTTTGTTTAAAGTGAATTTTTCCATTACAAAATTTTGTGATGACGTCATCAACATTTTTGCAAGGACACGTATATCAATTTGGATAGACGCAATGTAATACTAATAATAACAGTACTGTAAACTCCAAATTTTCCTGAACATAGGTAAGTCGTTCTTGATTTAATCAATAAAATAAATTGCCTCATTCATTAAATTTTTTGAATCATCCTGTATAAAGAATTCCACTAACTATGAGTGCACTGATAAATCACAAGTATAGAGCCATAATATTTTGCATATTTCAGAGAGGATTTATTCGGCAAAATTTTGAGATGCCGTTATCAATTTTTGGAAGGGCATAAATTAATAAATTTTGATTAACGCTTTACCATTATTACGACAACCTTGAAACGTTTGTGAGACTTCAGAGCATTCGGTTCAGGAGTTTCAAAGTTAAATTACAAAATGATATTATATAATTTTCATTTTTTTCCAAAAATCTGGATGACTTGAGTGAAAACAACATGGATTAATACACCATAAGTTCAGGAGTACCTTATTTTATAAAATAAAAAAAAATTGTTGTAAATTTTGGAGATGGCGTCATCCCATTGGTGATGGGGATGATTAGCCTAATTTTGATTACAATCGGTCCAGTAGTTCAACATAGCCCCCAGACAGACAGACGGAAACGGAGATCACTTTTTTCTAGGGGTTATGAAACATCGAGAAACCCTGAAAGCAACGATTCGTGGATGGACCCTATTACTATACTTCTTTAGCTTACGCTCAGGAAGTAAAGATATTATTTGCAGTTGACTCTTTACAGATAGTACCCTGCCTAAGGATGTTTCTTTAAAGCAACACTTTGTTTTGAAAAAAAAAGCTTTTGTTTTTTATTGTATATTGTAGGTACAGTGTGTTTAATTTCAAATTCGACAAATTATATCCGTGTAACAATTTATCAAAATTAAGAAATAGTAGAAAAAATGGTATGCAATCTATTGCGATTACATCTTAAATGAGACAATTCTTTATAACTTTTTTACTATTTTACAAGTATTTCGCCATCATTCTCATCGTACTAGGTGTGTTTTATGATAAGTTTTTTTTTAAATTAACGTTAATTCAAACCATTTGTAAAGTTTAAAATATTTATTCATTTTCTTGGAGCATATGCACATGTTAACCACGCGCCAAAATTAAGGACTTTAATTAACATACTACCGTGATATGTTAGAAGTAAATAAAAATTGTAAAGTGATAACTGATGAGAATAATTGAAGCACAGAGAAGTGATAATTGATAACAATAATTAATGTGTAACAGAAAACCAGATTAGTTAATAATATATTATTCTGTATCAATGACGTTCTAACGCATACTCTTTGTCGGTCTACTGAAAATAAATATTTACGAAAAGAAAATGGCTTTTATAATTAATATGTATGTTTAATCACTATAAAAAGAGAATTGTGTCAACGTCATCATAAAAAGATAAGATTGTTATGGCAATACATATTTGCTCTTTAATTTAATTATTAGGCTACCGATGCCAAACGTTCATAATATAGAAGAATAATTGTTTCTCATATTAACTTAAAATTGAAACGTGTAAGAAATTTGCAGTTACGTACTCTAGAGTCCATGGCAGACGAATAGTTTATCAGTAAGATAAAAATGTAATATTTAAGCTTGTTTATATAAGAAGATTTATTATAAACTTTACTTTTCCGATGCTTGAGTGTAACCACGAGTTCACGTCATTTCTAAAGATTTCGGTGTTAAATTACATATTTTTGAATACTGTCTGATTTTACTACCCCGTAGAATGAAAGTGATTCTAATTTAGAACTAAGTAATTATACACTTTAAACAATAGTTTGAACTTAGTACGTCTGAACACACACTTTGTGGTGTCACACTGACGATAATGCAAAGTGTTTTCTGTTAATTCCAAGATGTACAGTAATATACTTTAATATCAAAATCCTAGGCCATAAAAAAGTCATAAGTAGTTATCGCTAGTTTTAGAAGTAATAAAAAACATTAAAGCCGATTGGTATAATTTTAGAAACAATGTTATATATGTATTTTGATTCTGCACAAATTATTTCATTCATCTTAAATTTTACTCATACATCTGCAGCCTTGGATTATATAAACAAAAAAAAAGTTCCTCACTTAGATATATTCTCTTTGTACGCACTACTTATATTATATGCTAAATTCAGGTGTGCCTATTCAAATGCTAAACGTCTTATTGCAGACCAGACCCTACGTTGCGCACAGAGTATTTTCAGGTCAATAATCACTCAGGACCCTACCTTCTTTAATGGCAAAATGCATTGCGTATCGTTAGTTATTTGTATATTTACAGAAATATACCAATGACAAACATTACGTTCTGACTAAATAAAACTGTGCTGCTTATCGTGGTTTTATATTACACAAAGTAGTGAAGGTTTGGATTCGGATATAATGATTCATTTCACTGGACTTGTTAATTTATCAACATAACATAAATACGTAGGAAAAACGGACATGTAGTAATATACGAAACTCAAGTTAGTTAAAATCTATTTAGACTTGTACGTAATAATAAAAAAAAAACTAAATAACAAAATATGTAACAGCAGACAATCTGGACATATATTGTGACACCATTAAAATGATAGTGGTATGTCCGTTTTTATTACAGGTAATGAAGATTTTTCTAGTGATAATATGCCTATTAACCTATAGCTGATAAGAGATATATTGTGATACTTTCATTATGACCAATTTTCCTTTGGCATTTTGCAGTTCGTCGAATATAAAAGTATTAGTACTTCTATCTAGAAGCATTAATACAAAAAATTGGTCTAAAGAGTTTAGACAGTACTTCCCTCGCTGTCGGAAACTTGACGACTGCATGCCTATTGTGTTTTTTTTTCTCATTACATTTTTGTAGTGGGAATTTAAAAAAAAATTGCGATGACGTCATC